CAATCTACTTCCGTAGTGATACTGCCTCGGAAACCCAAGGAGGGGTCACTATGAGTCGGGTCCGACTTGATGGCACATAACAACAACAACAACAACATTTAATGGATACAGAAACTGAGTCCCAGAGAGGGCAAGAGAAGTCAGCAGCAGAGCCTGGCCTCACAAACTCCTGACCATTTTCTGGGGAGCTGTCTCCTGTCCTCTAGCAAGAGCCTGGGTGCTGAGGACCCCAAGGAGGACCTCCCTTCACACCACAAACCCCGCACCAGCCACCAGCGATTCAGAACTTGGCTCTGAGAAGAGAACCCCGAGACTAGAGAGGACAGGTAAGAGGCTGTTAGGGCAGCCTCCCATACCAACCCACAGGCTTTGTCAGGGGGCAAGGCAGGCAGGCCTTCAAGAGTGTGAATGCTGAAACTTGGGTGGAGGAAGGGAAGGAGGAAAAGCACTTGAAGTTTAGGGGAGCCAGGGTAGAGAAAGCAGCGCTCCCCCTGCCTGCAAGTGAGCAGGCAGCGAGCTCTGACCCAGAAGGGCAGGGCGAGGGGGCGGGCCCCAGGCCCTAGCTTGGGTTGCTTCAGGCCCCTAGATCTTTTAAAACTTCCATGTGGGTCCTAAAGAGCTCTGATGGCCTAATGCCTAAGGCATTTGACTCCTAACCAGAAGGTTTGTAGTTCTAACCCACCAGACACTCTGCAGAAGGAAAGATTTACTGCCTCGGAAACTGCTTCGGAAACCCATTGAGGGTCTCAGAAACCCAGTGGGGGTCACTATGAGTTGGAATGGACTCGATGGCAGTGAGTTTGGCATTTTTTTATGTGGGTTCTGGGGGATGTGTTTGGCTGATGGGAAAGTTTGAGTGAAGAAGGGCATTTGTTACTTTATGGCAGAACAAAAGGACATGTTCCCCTCCCATGTCCCCTCAGCAGAGGCAAAGAACTCAGGGCTGGTCTGCTGGAGGAGGGGGTCGGGCAAGTTCTGGGCTGCTGGGGGAGGTGGTGAGCATGCACTGTGACCAGCTCTGTCTGGCGTCTGGCTCTGGTGGCACTTAGTAGATGATTTAGTCTGCCTTGAGCTCAGGTCAAGATGCTTCATTTCCCAAAGCCCCTGGGGAACCAAGGCTTTTATTGTTGTCCTGGCCTCCTGCCTTGAATGCCTTGAATTCCAGTCCCTGTACTGATCCTCCCTTTCTTTGACATCAAAAGAGAGCTGGGTCCCCAGTGCCTTCTCTCTCACTTCCAGGGAGCCTGGCCCCTTTTTCTCTCACCTTGGGGAGGTAAGTGCATTTGAAAGGCTTCTGTCTCTAGGATCAGCCAGCTTAGTAGTCAGAGCTGGGAAGTTGCTCAGACGACCAGCCTGTTCAGAGCTGCCCTCCCCTCTGATCTCAGCTGGTGCTGGGATGTGGCCACCTCAGGAAAAGTCCAGAACATACCAGAGGCCTTGCCCTGAAGGCTGGGACCCAGCAGCCCCAGGCAGCCTGGGAGGGGAAGTCAGATAGCTGAGGATGAAGCCTGGCAGAGTGGTCCCCCAGCCAGGGACACCTCCCATTCACGGTTTGCTTGCTGAATACCTGGCAACTCCCTCCCCTCCGAGGCCCCAGTAGCACTCCTCCCAGTCTTGCCAGTGCACCCCCTCACCTCCCTGTTCCTGCTCAGCTCACCTGCTCACCCCACAAGGAGCTTTCTGCCAAGAGGCAGTGCCACATGTGGGTTAATGCCTGGACTGGGAGTCAGATCCCAGCCCAGCCATCTGTTTGCTGCAGATCCTTTGTTGTTACACTCACTGCTGCTTGTCGACATCTGCCTCGAACCCAGGACTGCTCCATAGCGCCTGGCTGAGCACCCTGTACACAGGGGCTCTCAGACTAGAGGGGGCTTGTTGAAACCGTGTTGCTTGGTGTCACCCCACATTCCTAAGTCAGCAGGTCCAGGGGGGGCGGGGAGCCTTGAATCTGCATTCTTGACCCCAGGTGATGCAGGTGCTGCTGGTCCAAGAGCCACCTTGGAGTAAGGGGTACTCCCTGCTCTCTGAAACCAATGCTCTACTCGAGGAGTTGGGACTTGTCCTCAGGAAAAGGGTTAAATAGCCTGAATAGTTGGCTCCAGGCCCTAGGTACTCCCGGGCAGGTGGCAAGACAAATTTAGAGTGACTTACCACGGTAGCCATCTTCCTGTCCTCCGTGTTATATGTGCAGGAAGTGATGAGCACATCCCCCTGGGGATCAAGTACCAGACAACCGTTAGCATCTGCCACCACAGGTGCAGGAGCCCAGGCTCACTTGTGATCAAGACACCATAAGTGTGTGGGTGGTATTGCTCCACTGCAAGGAGCCTGACAGTAGACCCTCATGTTGGTCACAGTGTGTCCCCAGGGTGCTGGGCCCAGTGGGCACCTGCCTGTTTGTACAGGTGTGGACAGTGCTGGCACGACGGTTCAGGTGTACCTTGGGCAAGTCCCACACAAGGCCCGAGGTTCTGCTACAAGTTGCAGGTTCACCAGCCTCCCCTTTCTCCCTAAAGCTCTCAAGTTGGTTTGGACCCAGCAGACTCACATCACTGTGTGTCCCCTCTATGTCCGTTCCCTGCTGATGTCTTCCCTGGGGTGAGGCAGCCCGTGGAACCGGGCTGTTCTGCACTGACATTCCCTGTTTCGCCGTCTCCTCCAGCCCCAGTCCCACCCCCATGGTGCTCTCTGCCCATGCACTCACAGGGTGAACGGACACCACCTTCTTCAGCATGCGAATCTCCTGGGATGCAAAGTGTGGAAGAGGGAGGCAGAAAGAAGAAAACATTTCAGAGAGCGGCAGACCTGCCTCCCCCTGAAGTCTCCTGTTTTCAGTCTTCCACAGGGACTCCCTCAGGCCAGCCCTTGACCCTCCTGAGGGTGTCCATGGAGTCCCAGCCTCCCTGGTGAGGGCCACGGCTGGCTGGCTGGCTGACTTTGTCCTCTGGCCAGGACAGTACTGGAAGAAGGATGGGAATTGAGAGCCACCACAGGCTGCCTCAATCCCTTAGGGTGCCACCCAACCTAAGACCCCTGAGATTAAACACAAAAAGAGAGCAGGCTGCCCTCTGCCCCCCAGCCCCTGGTGTCTGGGCTCTGGCCAGCCAAAAGGCCCAAACTTGCTGTCCTGAGCCCCCTACCTGGAAGTGGGGGCTGTAGTGATTGTCCCTGTTCACCACCTCCCTCTCACAGCCATCCCGGGCCAGCACTGTGACCACCTTCCGCCCAGTCAGGTGAGTGTGCAGCTGTGAGGCAAAGATGTGTATCCCCGAGGGTGGTAGCGCCTGTGGGCAGGGAGAGGCAGGCTGAATGTCCGGGGACTGAAGCCCAAACCACTGCATTTTTTTACACAGTCAAGGATATCTAAAAGGAGCCCTGGTGGTGCAGTGGTTAAGTCTTGGCTGCTAACCACAGTTTGGTGGTTCAAAACTACCAGCTGCTCCAAAGGAGAAAGATGAGGCAATTTGTTTCCATAAAGATTGACAACCTTGGAAACCCTATGGGGCAGTTTTACTCTGTCCTTTAGGGGCACTGTGAGTCATAATCGACTGGAAGGCAGTGAGTTTGGTTTGGGCTTTGCTTCCATAAAGATTGACAGCCTTGGACACCCTGTGGGGCAGTTCTACTCTGTGGTCTAGGGGCACTAGGGGCATCCAGAATCAACTGGATGGCAATGGGTTTAGTGGGTGGGTGCTTGCATACTACTTATGCAAAAAAAAAAAAAAAAAAAACCCACATTTTACAAGGCCACGTGGACAGGGCAGGTTTGGGAAACTGTGCAGTGACACTGTTCTGCGGGACATGGTGAGGGGGACATAGGACACAATGCACTTTCCATAGTCCACAAGACTGCACCACAGTGACCCCTTATGTGGACTGGGACTTCAGTGAACAATGATGTGTCCATGTGGGTTCATCACTTATAGCACATGTACCTCAGGAGTGGAAGACGGAGATAACAGGAAAAACTGGGCAGGGGACGTTGTGCCTTCTACACAATTTCTCCATGAACCTAAAATTACTGTAATGGAGAATGTCTATATAACAACAACAACAAAAAAGCACAGTGCCAGGAAGTGCTGGCACATGGAGAGCAGGGTAAGTGGCAGCTGTGCTCAGTCACAGAGGTAGGTGTCTGTCACAAAGGGCAGAGCAGGAAGCGCAGAAGAGGTCAGTGTGAAGCAGCAGGGCATTTAGGGTCAGGCACTGCCTTGCCAGCTGCTCAAGAGTGACCCCCAATGGCTCAGCCAATGGGGCGCCAGGGCAGGGAGGGTGTGGCCAGGCCAGCCCACTCACCAGTTGTGTGCACTTGTCCGTACAGTAGCCTGTGAGCATGAAGGCATGCTCCCCCGGTGGGATGGCCATCACAGGCGTGTACACCAGGCCCAGCTCCATGATGCCGGCATCGTATCGCCTCAGCGAGGCCGTGTAGTACAGGCGGATGCCAGAGGAGTCGCGCCGGCCTGCAGGAAAGAAGAAGTGAGTGAGCAGAGGCCTCCTGCTGCCCCCAGTAGGCCACTGCAGCTCACCTATTTCGACCTACCACCTTCAGCCAGAAGGCGGCACTAGTCTCCCCACACCTGCTTCCACCTGCTGCCTGTAGCCACACCTGTTGACACCAGGCGGACTTGCAGTCACTGAGAATCAACTAACACACGTGGTACAGTACACACCTGGGAAGGACGAGCTGTTGAGAACTACAAAAACCAGGCTGAACTCCTAGGAAAGACTTGATGAAGGTGAGTAAGGAAAAACTCCTACAGTTGAGTTTGGTGTGCAGTGGCACCTCCATAGATTTGGGACACCTGTAAAAACCTTAGATTCTGCACTGGAATCACTTTGAAAGCAATTTTCATTCTTCTTCCATGTTCCTAGAAACCTAAGCTGGAGCAGTAGGACACCATGCAGGACTCATGGGGTATGGCTTAGGCAAAGAAGGGATGTGGAACTCCCAAGGCCTGTACACCTCCCAGGAAGCTAGCCCTGTGTGAAGACCAGAAGGTGAGTGTGTGTTGTGCCTAAAGCTAAAATGAATGGTGTGAGGCACCCATCCCTTTTACAGCTCCCACCCTCACTGTTCTGATTGCTTGCTGCAGGACTGTGGGCAACCTGGGCGCCTATCCGCTGAGCTGCCTCTCTGGAGGTCCCTGAGCGGAATCGTGGGCTACCTGGAGTAGGCTGGGCACTAAAGGTTTTACCTCTGGCCCCTGGTTCCTGTTTGGTCAGCAGCAGTGATCTTGGACACATCCCTGTCCCTCTCAGGGTCTCAGTTCATGGATAAGAAGACCAGAGGTGGTCTCTAGAGCCTGTTCCAAAGGAGAACTTGGTGCATCTGCCCATCATGGATGGGGACCATGCCAGCCTCCTGATCCTGGTCTGGCCTCATTTGCTGGCTCCTCTTGTATGGTGCTGTTTGCAGAATCCTTCCAGGTCCCTCACCACTTGTCTATCCGTCTGCCCTACTGTGGAGGTTTGTGTGTTACTATGATGCTGGAAGCTGTGTGACCAGTATTTCAAATACAAACATGGTCACCTACAGTGGACAGGTTTCACTGGAGCTTACAGACTACAACAGGCTAGGAAGAAAGCCCTGGTGATTCACTTATGAAAATTAGCCAGTGAGAACCCTATGGATGACAACACAATATTGTCTGATTTGCTTTGGGTACATCATCAGGAGGGATCAGTCACTGGAGGAAGACATCTTTGGTGAAGTAGAGGGCAAGGGAGATGGTGAGATGCACTGGCACCGTAGCCACAATGATGGATTCGAACAAACCAGTGATTGTAAGGGTGATGCAGAACCAGGCAACATTTCTTTCTGCATGAGGTCACCATGAGTTGGAGCTGACACAACAGTGGTTATAGATCTATCTGCCTATCTGTCTATCTGTCTAATCTATCATTTACCTATCTGTCTGTCTTTCTATGTAACTATCATCTATCTTGAAGAGCAAAGACGTCACTTTGAAGACTAAGGTGTGACTAACCCAGGCTATGGTATTTTTAACTGCTTCATATGCATGTAAAAGCTGACAGTGAATAAGGAAGACTGAAGAATAATTGAATTGTGGTGTTGGTGAAGAATACTGAAAATACCACGGACTGCCAGAAGAATGACCAAGCTGTTCAGGAAGAAGTGCAGCTGGAATGCTCCTCACCTACTTTGGTCATGCAGTCACAAGGGACCAGTCCCTGGAGAAGGATATCATGCTTGGTAAAGGGGAAGATCCTCAACAAGATGTATTGACACAGTGGCTACAGTGATGGGCTCAAGCATAGCAAGGATTGTGAGTGTATCATTCTATTGTAATAGGGTTGTGACGAGTTGGAATTGACTAAATGGGACCTAACAACTACATCATCTATCTGTCTATCTATCTCGCTGCCTATCAACTGTCTTTCATCTATCTGTCCATCCATCTATCATCTATCAATCACCTGTCTAGCTATAATCTATCTGTATCATCTATCATCTATCAATCATCTGTCTAGCTATCATCTATCTGCCTGCCTGCCTGCCTATCTATCATTTATCTATCTGTCTATCTCAAGTTCCTTGAGCAGCCTCCCAGCAGTCATTTGGATCTGATAGTCAGCGACATGGAGGCTCTGGCATCCACAGGAGCACCCCCACAACTGCATGGTCTCAGATGTCCCTGACTCCTGCCTAAAATGCTACTCTTTGATGACCTGAGCATGTCAGTGGGCTCTAGAGTCCTGGAAGCTTACTGCAGCTGAGCCAGCCCCTTGGAATGTCCAGAGAGTTGGGCAGGCATGGCCTGTGTAACTGGAAAAGCCTGGCACTTCTTTATTGTATGTGGGGAAGACTTGTTAGGTGGCAAGTAACATGAAATTTACAAGGACTTTTAATTTACTTGGGTAAGTCTTCTGGTAAAAGTTCCTTTGAAAAGAGTCTGATAAAAAGTTCTGGGCACAAGAAAGAAATTGGCATGTCCAGGAAAGACACTGCAACCTGGTGATCGGGGAGCTGTGAGCTGGGGAATGAGTTTGACCATTTTCATGCCCTTCTGCTCTTTCCATTTCTGCCATTATGTACATGAATGCCGTTGTCAATCAAACAAACCAAAAAGGAGTGGTACAGATTGTAACACTGGGTGCCAGAAATTGTTCACATATAGCCCAGCACCTTCATGGACATTCTGCATTGTAAGAATCACCACCCCCATTTTACAGACAAGGTAAAAGAGGCTCAAACCCTGAACTGCAGGCCTTGGCCAACACTTCACATCTGGGAAGCAGCCAAGCCAGGGTTCAAGCCCAGGGCTGGTCAACTGGGACTCTGAGTGTTGTTGGTAGCCTGTCACCTCCCTATCTCTTTGTTTTTAACTAAACTCAAAATACCCCACCTTGCCCCTCTTTCCCTCCCTCCCTAGCCCTTTTCTCTGCCTTCCATGTCCCAACTCAAACAGGCTCCTCTATCTCCGGGTCGATTACTTCAGAGGATAATAATAAAGAGGGAGATGCAATTGGTTAAGATTTGGTTGGGGATTAAATAATGAAATAATTGTGGAACCTTGATATTTATAGAAAAGCAGCCCATCTCAAGATTTGTGAAGTGACAGGCACATCCTTATATTTGGCAAAGGATCCATAAATATAGCCAGATCATCAGGAGGAGACAGGCTTCCCTGATGCTTAAGGAGTTTTCAAAAATCCATTTGCTTTCAGCTTTTAAAAGAGCAATAAATCCAATATCACGCTAAGACCCAGCTGACTTATTCCCTTCTCTGTGCAGGCTGCAGATAATTCCAGCAGTGCCACAAGGTATTACTTATGCAGCCAGGAAAACATGACCAGCGACCGTTAATTGAGCATGCACCCGTGCCAGTCTTGGGGTGGGGGTTCAGCTTTTCCTGACCTCAACACAGCTGTGGGAGATAAGAAAACAGGTCAGAGGGTAGGTTACTGCCCCAGGGGCATGCAGCTAGGGACAGGCAGGCTGGCACCCAGCCTGGAGAGATGTTTTATCTATCAGGCTATTTCTGCCTTTCATTTACACAGGTTAGTGACAAGTGTCATTTAAAAAAAAAAAAAAAAAAGTCATGTGACTTACATGATAGAAAGTGGTGGTGTAACAGAAAGAAGGAAATATTTCAAGTTTCTAATACAGTGGCACCTGGCAGTCATTCTGAAGCCTGGCTCTAGTTGATCCACCTTCAGGCACAGGGTGATCCAGCAGTCCCTGCCATCTGCCCCCAACTCCCCTTCCTAGTCCCTGCACTGCAGCTGAACCAGCCTGTCTTCCAGCTCCTGAACATGCTCTCTGCTTTCCCACCACTTGTCTTTGTACAGCTTCCCTTGTGAAAATCCTCCTCACCCTCCAAGGACCATTTTAAATGATGCCACGCCATGTGGATGCTCTTCCTCTTATACATCTTTGTGCTTTGCTGGTGTCTCTCTCATATGTCCTTGGCCCCCCTAACTGCTGTGTGTGTATACATGCATGTGCATGTGTGTGTCTGTGCCTTCTCTCCTTTCCAGAAGGACCTTGAGGACATGGATGTGTCTTGTTCATCTTGAGGTTCTCCTTGAACCTGGGAGAGGCCACACATACCACAGCCTTCAGGAAATTAAAACCCTTGGTTTTCATTTCCTGGGCAGTCAGTATGATGCAGGGAGACAGGAGTGGCTCTTGCCCTGTAGCTTTCCAAGCTAAACTGGACAACATGGATTTGTCTGAACCACCAGCACCTGTGCCCACTTGACTCAGCACCATCGTCTCTAGCTGGGTGCATGTGGGCAGGCCACTCCTCTTTCTGGGCCTCAGGTCTGCGTGTTAAAGTTGGTGAGAGGAGTGGCCGTCCTGTGCACTTCACAGGGGCACTTAGAGGATTTGAATTTGTTATGTTTTAACGCACTTCTAAACTCAACAGCTTTGAAATCCAGCCCTCCAATGCCAGGGCAGACATCGCTAATCAATCACAGCACTACTCACTATCCTGCTGTGCCCAGGCAACAGGGCCCTCTGTGCCAATTAGAGGCCAATTACAGGAGCCCCATGAATAAGTTTATCTGCCATCCCTGGCATGTACACATATGGACAGAAAACCCTGTGAGCACACTCACACTCAATGTACACATTTGCTCTGTCATCATGTGCTTTGAGAAGCAAGAGAGATGCTCATAGCCAGACACACCCTGATTGGGCCAGAGCCCTGCCCTTCCTTAATGATGGCCCAGGACAAGGGTCAGGGCTGGAACATTAAAGAGAGCATCAGGTGGGTCAGAGGCAGGAGCTGCTAGTGATAGAAATGCTAGGTCCACTTGTTGGGCACTCCAGCTCAGCCCAGCCTGCTTGAGGAGAACAGAGCCACCAATGGCTCACCCCATCATGCACCCCATCAGGTAGCCGCAGTTAGAGATGATGAGAGGAGGGCTTGGCCTGGGTAGCCTTGCAGAAGTTAGACTTCCTTGGGGACAGTACCTAGGTTTCCACTTCTGCCTGATACCTCTCTAAACAGTCTTTGGGCCTGTGACAAACACATCCTAAAAAAACTATCTGGAAAAAGTGAGAAGAGGGTATGTGTTTGTGAGGGGCTGATCCCATTTCTAAGAGAGTGTGTGGAGAAGAGGCAGGGTAACAGCATCAGAATTAGGCTGATCTTGCCAGGTTCAGGTTTGGCTGGGCTATTACAGGACTGTGTGGCTGAAGCCATGGAGCTGTACCAGAGCCAAACTTCTGGTTCTGAGTCCCTACAGGCTTTGTGGCCTTGGTGGGATCCCTTCGCCTCCCAGCCTATAAAACAGAAATGCAAGTAACTGCTATCTAGCCTAGGAGCTCTGGTGGCATAGTGCCTAAGGCACTTGACTGCTAACCAGAAGGCTGGCAGTTCAAACCCACCAGCCACTCCTTGGAAGGAAGGTTGGGC